CCTTAGTTTCTCTTCTTTGCAACTAAAGAGAAAGGGAAAATCTATAACATTCATTTTGCTTAAGTGACACAAAATGATTACTGCACAGAAATCAAATGTAAGTTTATCTTCTAAATTAAAAAAAATGTATAGGAAGAGGGATTCAGAAGATCTAGATGGGGAAAGTACTTTTAAATTCTTGAGTACATGAATGCTAACTATCAAAAATTGCTTCCCATTGCCTAGAAAGAAAACTTTTTTTCTCTCTTTCTCTCTCTCCTCTATTCAATGTTTCAAACCACAACCATCCCAAATTCTTGTTGCTTTTTAAAATGTTAATGTAACTCTGGGCAAAAAAAAAAGATTTTCAAATTTTGGACACTGATGCTATTCCATAATTGCTTAGGTGTATTGTCCATCATAGTCTTAGAACCAGAAGTAAATGTGTAAATCCTTATAAATTGTTTAGTCCAACTTTCTCATGTTGCATGTAAAGAACCTAAGACCCAAAGCAAAGACTAGAATCCTTAACTTCTCAGTTTTTTTCCCCCTCATAACACCATGCTGCATTCCCTTCATATTATCACCCAACCAGGAACAGAGTTGTCAAAAAAATACATATTTCTCAGGACAATATTCTACTGGTATATGAATGCCAAGCTTATTGCTTTCAAAGATACTTTCTTCTTTGCCTACTCCAGCTACCAGTTTTATTGGAGAAAACCAAGTCGTATGTACACAAAACTGAAGGCTTTTGCCTAAAATGCATTTCATGAGCTTAATTTATTTCATCTGTAGTCCTGGTGTTCCTATTTCCTTTGACTAAAGGCAGACAGACTTGGCCAACAGTTGTGTTCTAAATATAGTGCTTGTACTGGGTTTACCTTTCCGTTAATTACTGAGTCCAGTTCCTCTGGGCCCTTCACCAGTTAGTTCTCCTAGTTACCAGGGCTTCTCCCAGAAGGTTTTAGTTCAGTCTTAATGATTATTTTAATGCTAAAGAAGGAACTAAACCATCAGACCACTTTTACAAACCTCCTCTTAGCCTATAATCCAAAATAATATCTAGAATGGTAGATTGCATTTAATGTTGCCGAGCATATGCTGAAAAATATGGATTACACTACCACGTGTTTGTATCTTCCCTTTCAAGTAATGATGTTAAGGTAAGTTTTTGTCCTTTTAATTTTTTATGTAAATCATTTCAACTCCTAATTTATAGATGTCTTTTTTCTAAGTACAGTAGACCTTTAACAGATTTGACATGGATTCATTTATTCACAAGCAACCCTAAAAGTCCAAAAATATGATTTTGATAAGGCACAGAATCAACATACTGCAAGGCTGATGTGGGAAAAGTCACTGAGTGTCTGGAGGGGGTATGGTGTATATGCAGTAGAGATTGACATTTCACTTATGGTAGGCTGCAAAGTAAGGGTTTGGATCAACCATTTCCCACCTAATTTTAAGAAGTGGTTGCTTTTGGGGCTAGGGGACATTATGGGAGGTGGGGCTGGCCTGTTTGTTGTGCCCTGTACAGTCAGCCCAGGAGATCCTGGAAGGAGGAGAGGGGTGCAAAGGCTTCATGAGTAAGCAGAATGGGTTGGGTTGGCAAGGGACTGGGGTAAGTCCAGCCTGGGATGAGAGCAGAAAAGTATTCAAGATTTGGGAGCCTTGGTACTTAATCACCATGGAAATCAGCAATACATATCTCAACATGGCTTTGATACTCTCTACTTCCCGGCCTTTATAAATGACTGAAAATTTTTCAGGTTGCTTTACCATATTTTATAGAGAAAATTCTCATGGTGGTATCGAGCATTTATGAGATTTATGAAGGCAATAGGACAGGTATCTCAGGAACGTAAAGGGTTAGAAAAAGTGTTTTCTGTGTTTAACAAATACAATGGGTTCCATAGTTGACCCTTGGTGCTTAAACCAAGAGGTTCTAATCTAGCCCTAGAATGTGTCCCTCCAAAAGGTCTAGCTCCATGTGACTCACAAACCAGATGTATACATTGAGTTTTATTTAATTGACAGATAAGTTGACTTAACTCAGTATTTATATTTCGATTAGTGAAAATAGTCCTCTTTTCACCTCCAGATTGCTTACATTTTGCTGGTTTCCCCAAGTGACCATTGGTGGAGACCAATTAATGAAGGAATGAAATTTGCTTTCTTGGGACTGTGGTATTCTGCAGAGCCACGCTTAACCACTTTTTCTAGTGAAGAATCTACAGAATGATAATACCTAAATATGGATGGCCAAGAAGAATTTGTATCTACAGTGTGCTTTATGTACTTCTGACACTGCTGTATTTTGTGTGGTCAAGTGACTTGTAACTGGTTCCAATGTGACTGTTCTCAAAGAATTCTAGTAATTAAGTCGACTTAATTTTCTTAAGCCTCATATTACTATCAGTCTCACATTTACCACTTTGATTCTAGTCTTTTAACTGTTCATAACAGGGCATACCAAGGGTTGGGATGAGAGTCTACTTCCTACCTCTTAAGGCACTTTCCTCATTATTTTGCCATATAACCTTGAAGTGCATGATAAGCTGTTTAAATGTCCATGACTTCTCCCAGAGCAACTGGCAAAGTATATGACGTTGAATAGAGATTAGTGGAAAGGAAAATTTAGAGACGAAGTTCAGAAATGCAAACCTCAAGAAAACCTCTTTAGAGCACATACCATCTGAGTACAAATTGTGTAAATGTCTGTGAGAGGAGAGTCTGTAATAGTCTACGTAGATTAGTTCAATATCTAATGGAAGTGAAAATCTTTACTCCTATTATCACTATAGTACTGAATGAACCGTATACTGAGTTTTTCAAACAAGTATGTAAAGTAGGACTTTTAAATACAGAGCAAGGCCATAAGGATAAAGGTATTGGTTTATGTTTCTCTAAGTGTAGTTTATCATCTAAAGCTTTCTTTTTTTTTTTTAGTTGCCATTCCTTAGCATCCTTAATAATTATGGGTGATGAGTTTTTAATTCTTAAAATTATGTACGTGTATTAGGTTTATCTTAACTCTTACCCTAAGCAAAAGGGATGGTATACACCTAAGGGATGTAATTATTTTGCATTTTTGGCCTTGGGTGGGGATGGGGTGGGCATCTACTTAAACAGTTTTTAAAAAAGAAAAAAAATCACAAATATTTTTCTACTATTATACATGATCTTACTTTATACTAGTTTCTCTCTAGTAAGGCATGCCAGAAGCCCAAGGTACCATATCATGAGTTCCTATGTATTGTACCTTTTATTGGTGGTTAAATCGCATCAGATGCTTGGCACTGCTGCCATAATTATGAAATGCTTGTAAAGGAATAAATATCACTGAATACTTTAAATTGTTTTACTTAAGAGTTTAATCTGGGAAGTTTTCAAATCATACTATTAATGTGTAATCTAAGCTCTTTCAGATGTATCCATGAATAATCCTGGAACAATATTGCTTGTATTCCTGTCATAGAACAGGTTTTGTAATCTTTAAAAGAAATGAAAATTTATATAATAAAGTTTCAAATAAATGCATGTATGTCATTTATCAGGTTATTTCAACTATATGACAATATGTCCTAATGTCAAATTCTATCCAAAGTATAAATTTTTTGAATTGGATTTCTAGAACTTAAAACAGGAACGTTTCTAAGTTAATAAGGAGCGCAAAATAATTTTTGTATGTAGGCGCCCCTACAATCTATTCTTAATATAGAATCTGAAATGATCTGTTCAAAACCTATCAAGGATTATAACAAGTCATTTGGTCCTGTTACCACTGATTTCATCTGCCTAAACTCTCCCTGGCTCACTCTGTTCTAGCCACACTAACCTTCTTGCTATTTCTTGAATATGCCTGATATGGAGAACATAGGCAAATTTTAAAAAACGCCAAACTTCATTTTCAGTTACAGCCCACTGACAAGTACTTGAGACAGGCTGAGTTCCTCCAGGAACTCAACTGCCTCAATGTGAGTACTTTGCTAAAGGCAAAAGGCAACCTTAGCTTGACATTAGCCCAACCTCCAGGATCCTGTAAAAATCCCTTTGGAAACTTCCTTTATCCTACCCTCCCACCCCCACCCCCTGCCAAGATATACGTAGCTATCACCCTCCGAAGGAAGTTGGGGGAGAAGCGGTGGGGCGGTGGAGTGGCAAAGCGAGAGGGAGCAGACTCCCCGCTGAGCAGGAAGCCCTAGGCAGGGCTGGATCCTAGGGCTCTGGGATCAAGACCTGAGCCAAAGGTCTTAACCAAGTCCCAAGCTTAACCAACTGAGCCACCAAGGTGCCCCTAAAGACCCTATTTCTAATATAGTCACATTCTGAGATGTTAGGGGTTAAGAATTCAACATGAATTTTGAGAGGGCACAGTTCAGCCCATAACACTGACTTTGTCTTCTCTCCTCCCTCCCTTCCTGTGTATATTGAGCACTTCCTAGGTGCCAGACGTTCTGCCAAATGATGTTAACAGTAGGCAAAAGATGTAGTCTTTTATAAAGTAAAAACAAGTGCCATGCAAATATGATGCCTTGGTAATGGGGATGGCCGAAAAGCATTGCCCTTCCCGTCAAGATCCCGACCAGGTTGGGCGGGTGAAAGGGCCTAATTAAAACTAGCAGTGAGATCAGTTAATGAGTCAGCAGCAGCTGAAACCCGGAGACGCGGGCTGGTCGGTCACAAAGCAGCAAAGAGTCAGCTGTCAGCCAGCAGCGGGCGCCACCGGAATCCGCCCTTTATTATGACGCTCGGGCCCCGCCCCCTCCCTCCCGGACTCCTTCTCCCGGCTCGCAGCACCGCCCTGCCACTCCGCGTGCTCCTGCGAACTCCCGGGAACCCTTCCAAAGCGCGTAACCGTCCGCTCTAACAATGGCGGGGGAGCTGGGGCGCTCAGTCTGCCACGCCTGCGCCGTAGGGCCGGGGAGGGGGGCGGGGGGCGGGGGGAGGGGGGCGGGGGGCGGGCCCGCCGGCGTTGGGAGGCGGGGAAAAGCGACGCAAGCGGCCGCGACGCCATTTGCTGCGGCTGAGCGTGGGCGCAGGCTGATCTCGGAAGAACTCGGTCGCGAGACTCTCCCGCGCACGCGACCCGTCCTCTCTTGCCTGCTTGCTACCGCGCGGTCCCACGCGTCGCTCCTGGGGCCCTTCGGAGGAGTAGCCGCCGCCGCCGCCGCCCCCGCCCCCTAGATTGGAATCGAAAACGCCAGGAAGCCGCCGTCACCGCCATGCCCAAGAATAAAGGTAATGCCGCCCGGACCCTGGAACCACGACTCCGCTCGGACCCGGGCTCTCCGGCCCTGACCGCGGCTTCCGGGTTTCCCAAGCCGCAGTGACCTTCCTCTCCGCAGTGCCTGCGCGCGGCTGCACTGTACGGACGCGGTTTGGGGCTTGGGAGAGGAGCTGGGAAGTTATTACTGCTCCCACTTTGGCCACATTGGGGTGGAGCCGACGCCATTTTTGTAGGGCCTCCTGCGGGAGAATGTGGGCTTTTGCTCGCGATTCGCGCCAGACTGACCGCGGCGCTTTGTGGACCTGTGGGGAGACCTCCCGGAGGCGGCCAGGGTTTCGCAAATGGGCGCCTATTGGCCTTCCTGGGCGAGGAGACTTACACCCTGGAAGCACTTAGTAACTTTCAAAGGGTAATGCCCGCTCTAGGGACCAGGTACTCCTGCATGGGTTTCTTTATGGACAATTATTGAGACGACTCCTCCTCCCTTGTAAGCAGTGGACGAAACCTTGATGTATATTTGCATATTTAAGGTTCATTTCTAGAGATTTGCTCTTCTCCATCCCTTTATGGGCTTTAACTTATTTTTTTTAACCCCCAGAACACTTGTTCCATATTTACCCACGTTTTCTATTTTTGCTTCAGATCTTGTCTATATTGTGTTGGGAGTAAAGAGCTTTTAAGTTCCTCCATTCTGAGGTTAAACGTCCACAAATTATCCGTCTCAAAAATAAATTTATGTGGAATTTCCAAAATAGAAGGTCTAATGTACCTCAAAGCAGAAGAATCCTTAAGAAATTACCCTTCCCCCCCTTTTTTTAGACTGAAGGGGATGCTTATAATTCTTCAAATTGTATCTTTATAATTTTTCAAGGAAATTGTGTCAGTAGAAACCGGGAAACCTTGTATTTCCTTCAGGAGAGGATCATATTACACAATTCACAGGAAGTTTTTCTTTGGTTATTCATTCTTGAGACCCCTGCCCTGATCCAGGCCTACTTTTGTTCTCTTCTACTTCATAGCTGGCTCCAGGGATTCTTCTACCTTCTTTCCTCTTTGTAGCTGTCACTACTCATTTTATCTCCTGAGGTACTTGGTTTTACCGTTCTGTGCAAGATTTGGTGCAGTTCCCTTAGGGTACTCCACTGTCTTCGGAAATCTAACTTGCAGGTCCTTTTTGTAGCATTTTACTCTAATTATTCTGAGTGAAATCGATTTCTAAAAGTCTGTTTTCTTGTAGCCTGTCCAATCTTTTATTTTCTTTTAGATGGTAATTGGATCACCTCAGTAAGTAACTTATTCTCACCTTTGTTTCCAGTGATGAGATTTCCAATTCCTTCACTAGACTCTTAAGTTCTAATGGGCAGTAATATATCTGTCTTAATCACATTGAATTGTTAGCACTTGACACTTAGTAGATGCTCAATAAATATTTGCTGGATTAAGTCACCTTCCTTTTGGTTGACTCCACTCATATAAATAATAGGTTCCCCTTCGGTTCCCAGGGAACAGGATTTCTACATTAAATCATATCTAGTTCATTAGCCTCTTCTAAGATTACACTCCATTACATGGCCATAAAATAGAGAGGGGACTGATCAGGGTATGGTTAATTCTGGTAAATTGGCAATCAGTGGATCATTATTCTATAAATAATATTTAAGCATACAAAAATATAGATAATACAAGGAACACCTGGGAATCTATTACTCTGAACTTGAAAATTAAAACAATCATTTAAAGGCCTTTGTGTCCCCCTCTCCAATCCCCTTCCCTTCCTCTCTCTTTTGGAGGAAGTCACCATTCTGAATTTGGTGTTTTTCATTCCAATATTTGTAAAACCAGTCTGTTATTTTAGTGCTTTACAAGACCAAATGGATTTTAAGAGATGAGGTTTACTATGTAGAAATAAGGTCATGTTTATTTTTGTTTTTTCTCCATTGGAAAAACCAGAAGCCCTGTGAATATAATTTTGGGGATGGTTTCACAAAGATATAAATTGCCACAAACTGTGTGTTGACGGACTTTTTGCTTTGAACTGATTATTACCAGCTTATTTCTTCTAGAATTCTCTAGATACTTTTATTACCTCAGGAAAAGGGATATCCTTTGGTCCACTCATGAAGACTATTTGGGGTAAGGTGCTCCTGCACTTGGAGGAAGTTACTACCTTTACTTTTTAAATTGCCACTCTAGGACTATGTGAACTACCCTTGATTGATTCTTTTCATTCAAAGAATTGCCCAACTCTGGTATATAACATCAGCAAACAATGCTGCAATGAGCATTTACCCTTGTCTCTAATGGAGCTTTCACTCTGGTTTGAAGAGAAAATAAAGAAAAAAAAAGAAAAACAACTTGGCATGAAAATGGCCCTTGGAGCCAACTACTAGAAATTAGTTCTCGTCAAAATTACCTCTAAGGATACATCCCTCAGATTTATGGTATGCCCTTCTTAAGAATGTCTACACATCTACGTGAATTCTTCTTTCTCTGTTGGAAACTCTGCGTGGGTCACACATTACAGAGGCTCATTAATCCAAGTTAGGATGCCCCCAGGACTATTATAAACGCACAACTTGGGGGGTGATTGAATTTATTTTTTTTTTTTTTTTTTTTTTTTTTTTTTTTTTTTTTTTTTTTTTTTTTTTTTTTTTTTTTTTTTTTTTTTTTTTTTTTTTTTTTTTTTTTTTTTTTGTTTTTTATTTTTTTCTCTTTTTACTTTAATATTCTTTTCTTTTTAATTATTGCTACATGAATTCATGAAATTGTCTTTGACCAGAATGGCTACGGGTGATATTCACTTATTTCAATCTGCTCACGGCCGCCAACCCTCTAAAATCCCCACTTCCAGGCTTTCTCCATATATGAGTTCCTTCTCTTTAATTTAATCTCACCAACCTGCGGAGTCCTTATCCGACCACCTACCGACAGGCCTTTCTTCCTTCACGAACAAATCCCCGCTATCAAACTAACATGCGACGCCGACCCCGCACCCCCCCCATTTTGAAAATGGGCACCATGGGTTTTTTCAAAAAGTTCTGGAACCGAAACAATGCTCGACTCTGGAGAAATCCACATCCATGTTGCGGCCATGTTCACATTCCAAAAGCAGACCATTAGGTTATCAATTCTACCCCCCAAAAAAACAAAAAACAATAACACCCCCCCCCCCCCAAAACCCGCCCGACCCCCCCCCCCTCCCCCCCCCACACTAACACACACTGTATATGTTTGATTAATTTTTCTTCTGCGCTTCCGTGCCCCCCCCCCCCCCAAAAACGCAGGAGACAATTGTGTCCCCCCCCCCCCCCCCCCCCCCCCCTACTCCCCCCCCCCCCCCCCCTATCTGGACAAGTAAATGGGTGCTTTATTGTATAGTGGCTAACAGTATAGTTAACTGGGGTGGGGTCATACTGCTCATTTCAAATCCCAGATCACACTTGTGATAAAGCCTTAAATAAGTCACTTTACCTTTTAAAGACTATTATCTCTTGGGAAATGAAGACAAAATAGTACCTATCTCATAGGCATAGGCTTGTTACGGGTGAGTTACTGAGACAGTGAGACCTCTACTTCGATTAAAGCATAAGATAATGGAAGAAAATATAGGTGTGTTTAAGAGGTAGATAGGTATGTTTATAGTTTGAGAGATCTATATTTAAGGTGATTGTGTTGCCACTAACAAGGGTGTTGATTTAAGACCAGCTTTGTTTAAAAAGTTTTTTTAGTAAAATCAAGCTTGAGAGGACAGTAACCTACTCACTGGAGTCATTAGAAATAGACTAATGCTTAGTTGAAATAGTGGGCTTAAATGTAAAATTAGTAGCATATAAGTGATAGGTGAGAGAAAAATTAATTTCTTTAGAAAGTGGGTTAGCAGAAAGTGGGAAATTGGAATTCATGAAACTAGAGGAATAGGCATAATGGGGGAGGGTGGCTGGTGAAAGTCAAGAATAGTGCAAGTGGCCCTTTAAAAGTCAGAAAAAGTTGGGAAATGATTAGTAGTGTCGTTTTAAAGTGTGAAAAACAAGAGGAGGGAGAGGGAACATAGAGGTATTTTGATCTTCTGTTCTAACTCCTTCACTTTACATAGTCTATAACAGATCCTGAGAGGTTTTTGTGAAAGTTCCTTTTATCCTTTCCTTCTCCCTCCCTCTCCCTGGTCCTAATTTTCTTGTTTCCATCTTAGAAATATTCCTCCTGATTGTCTCTTCCTTTTCGTGGCTAGGCTGGCCTGCTTCATTGTGCATGTGTAAAGGACAATGACCAGTTTCCCACCCAAAGCATCATATACCTCTGGTTTTTTTTTGTTGAAGTATTTTTTAAAAATTTTTGGATAGTAAGTACATTTACAATTCAAATTTCAAAAAGTATGAAAAGTGTAATCTCTTTCCTAAACATGTCCCATTGCTAACCAGTTCTCCTTCTCACAGGTGATCATTGTTAATTTTTTTGAATATGCTGTTCCAGAGGTATTTATGTATATATAAGCAAATATGAAAATGCATCTATCTTCTCTTTTTTTGTTTGTTTTTTCTTTTTTAAGAAATCCACAAAAGCAGGGACAAGGAGGGGCAGAGGGAGAGAGAGAATCTTAAGCAGGCTCCACCAATACACGGGGCTGCTTAATCTCACAACCCTGAGATCATGACCTAAGCTGAAACCAAGGGTCGGACACAACTGACTGAGCCACCCAGGCACCCCTGCATTTTTCTTTTTTACACCAATGGTAGCTTTATACCCTTCTTCATCTTGCTGTATTCATTTTTAAAACTACATTATAAAGAATTTTGAATATATACAAAAGTAGGCTAGTATAATGAACCTTCAGATACTCATCTCCTGGCTCCAGACACTATCAATTCACAGCTAAACTTGAACCAGCACCATCCACACCAAATGAGTATCCAGACTTGGTCTACACATTGCCGTTGATTGACACGTCTTTTCTTTTTAAGATTTTATTTATTTAAAGAGAGTGCACATGGGTGGGGGGGGAGGAAACAGAGTCACTGCTGAGTGGAGAGCCCATTGTGGAGCTCTGTCCCAGGACCTGGAGATCATGACCTGAACCAAGGCAGACTGGCCAACTGAGCCACCCAGCTGCCCCAGCCTTTGTTTTTTCGATTAGTTTTACATTTGTAGAGAAATGAGCAGAAGGTAGAATTCTCATATTACCCCAGCATGTTAACATTTTACAGGAGCCAGTATACATCTAGTATTACGAACAAGTCCATAGATTACTTTAAGGTTCCTTCTTTATGTTGTTCACTGTGTGGGTTTTGATATATGTATAATGACATGTATCCACCATTACAATAGCATACAGAATAATTTCACTGACCTGAAGATCTTCTGTGTTCCACATACTCCTCTGCCCTCTCCTCCCCAACTCATGGCAACTACTGATTTTTTTTTTTTTTACTGTTTGTATAGTTTTGCCTTTTTCAAAATGATACATAGTTGGAATTATACTATTCAGCCTTTATAGGTTCCTTCTTTCCCTTAACAGTTTGCATTTAAGGTTCTTTTCAGATCTTTTGGGATCTCCATAGCTCATTTCTTTTTACTGCTGAGTAATATTCCATTGTGTAGATGAATCAGTTTATTCATTCACCTACTGAAGGACATCTTGGTTGCTTCCAAGTTCAGGAATTAGTGCCTTGTGTTCTTAACTTCAAATACTTTGCTCAGTGAATATTTCCTGCAGCTTTAAGATAAAATTCAAACTCTCAAAGCAGCCAGAGTTGTTCTCCCTCTACCACAAAATCAATATATCCCATTCCAGGAGCTGTAACTTTACCTCCTCTTGCCCCAAGTCATCCTACTTAGACTTTTCATGGGGACATCGGGTAAAAGAGGGGGCTTATTTATTCAGAAATTTATCAGTAACCCATTATATCTCCCACCTTGGCCCTTGTGGGCCACTGTAAAGGAGGGGTTCACTGAGCACTGTGCTCAATCAAGTGGCCATTGTAGTTCAGGAATTTTGATCATTGAATGCAGATGTCCTCAGGGATCTATATAATTTTATATAATACCTGTTTTTGGCTGGTTTGTGTTTTATGTCAGAGATAACCCAAAAGGAATTTCCAAGAAGGGTAAGGGAATGATGTGTTTAATATAATTGGAAATTGTAAGTTTAATATGATTGACCACATTAGATAAGTTTTTAAAGTAAAATGATTTTTTAAAGTGTATTGCGAGTCATTTATTTCTTTAATACTACTGTATAGATAATTAATGTCTTCCTTAAAACCATCAGGTAAAGGAGGTAAAAATAGACGCAGAGGTAAGAATGAGAATGAATCTGAAAAAAGAGAGCTGGTGTTCAAAGAAGATGGACAAGGTAAGCATTTTTGTGAGGACTTTTTTTAGTAATAGTTTATTCTTTTTTCTTTTTTAGTTTCCTTTTTTTCAATTTCTCTTGGGATCAAGAACCATGTTGGGCTCCCTGCTCAGCAGGCAGCTTGCTTGTTCTTCCTCTGCCTGCTGCTGCTCCTGCTTGTGGCCCCTCGCCCCAATCAAATAATTTTTAGAAAATGGAATTTCGGGCAGCCCGGGTGGCTTGAAGGTTTGGCGCTGCCTTCAGCCCAGGGCGTGATCCTGGAGACCCGGGATCGAGTCCCACGTCAGGCTCCCTGCATGGAGTCTGCGCCTGTCTGTCTCTCATGAATGAATGAATGAATGAATGAATGAATGAATAAATAAATAAATAAATAAATCTTAAAAAAAAAGAAAGAAAACAGAATTTCAGTGTCTAAATATGAAAGAACTATTCATAACCCTGAGCGATGACCTCCTGTGCCCCTCTTTGCCCTTCTGTTCCTCAGCCCTCCACACCTCTCTAGAGAGCTTCTCATCATTCCCTGGTATCCTCTGTGCAGTGAGGGTTGGAGGCATTTCTGTAAACGTCTGGGTTTCATTGTTTTCCATGAACACTCATAACTAAAAATCCATTATACGGTTCATAGGGAACTAAGCCTCAAAAGCTATGGTTAACAATTGCGTAATTTAGCAGACCTTTTCCTTAGAATATGGATATTTAAGGGATTAATTAGAAGTCTTTCCCTCACTTCTCCAGTGCTATTAGCATATAATTTCAGGATACAGAATACAGTGAAAGTGAACAATTGACCTTTATAAGCTAAGATGCATAACACTGGTTTCCCATATTTTTGAGCAATTTTTTTTTAGCAATTTCAAACCTTTGGAAAAGTCATAGTATTAGTACAATGAACTCCCTTAAGCCCTTGATGTGCGTGTTTCTTGAACATTTTAAAGTTAGTTACAAACATGAGACTTTTACGTTTACCATACCTGCTGCATTATGCTTCTTAAGTATATACTCTTACATAATCACAATAGAATTATCACACTTAGATAATTTAACATGACTATATTATATATCTAGTATATATTTTTGAAGTTTTCCAGTTATCCCAGTAACCCAGTAATTTCCAGCATATTTCAACAAACATTTTTTGTCTTTTTTTTTTTTTTTAAGATTTTATTTATTCATGAGAGAGAGAGAGAAGCGGGCTCCATGCAGGGAACCTGATTATGGGACTTGATCCTGGGACTCTAGGACTACGCCCTGGGCCAAAGGCAGGTGCTAAACTGCTGAGCCACCCAGGGATCCCCTTTTTTTTGTCTTTTTATTAGAACTTTAGTGGTTTTATTTATGGCTGTGTATATGTAAGCTACTTAAAATGAAGCATGTTTTGTGGCTAAAAGACCTTTTCGTTTCTTAGCCTTAGTCTGAGCAAGTCACTTCAGCATTTCAGAGGCCTTTCAAAGTTAAGTCTTAGTGTATTTACAAATCAGTGGATATTCTCTCCGTAGAATAATGACTTCTAGTATAACAAAGACATTATTAACATTAAGCTATTTGTTTGCCAAATATACCAAAAATTGTGTTGAGATTAGCCTCTAAAGGATCTGAGGGACAGGAGATCCAAAATCAGGAGACAATCCAAATGTGGAAGATTGATGAGGTTTAATGTACATTTTGGGACATGCCACCTAGGTCTCCAAAAATAAAGCATACAGTTATGAAGATAGTAGTCCTTCTGCTTATTCAAAATGAGTTGTTTGTTAAAGCATTTCTGATAGCAGAGATAACTTGTTATAGAAATGGCATTATGGAGTCTAGATTCTGGCTCTGCCATTAACTAGCTTGGTGTTTATTACTCTTTGTATTTATTTTACTATATATATTTATTCCTAACCAGTATACCTATGTGTTCTAGTCAGTTTTGTTTTGTTTTTAGATTTATTTATCTTAGCAGAGGGGAAGGGCAGAGGCAGAGGGAGAGAGAATTTGAAGCAGACTCTGCTGAGAGCATGGAGTCCAACTCAGGGATTGATCCCAAAACTGAGATCATGACCAATGCCAAAACCAAGCATCAGACTGGGCCACCCAGGGGCCCCTGTTCTAGTCCATTTTATGTGGACTTTTAAGTTGCTGTTTTGAAAAGTTGAACAGTATCCTGAATGCTTCTTTTTCCTTCCTCCAGAGTATGCTCAAGTAATCAAAATGTTGGGAAATGGACGATTAGAAGCAATGTGTTTTGATGGCGTAAAGAGGTTATGTCACATCAGAGGGAAATTGAGAAAAAAGGTAGGTGTGGAAATTTGTTTTACTTAAAATTGTGATTAAGGGAGGGAAATGGCTCTATAGTTTATATGGATCAAGGACCTCATTTTTGTAAGTTCCCCAAAGATTTCAGTAAAACAGTGACTTGCCTATGATAAATGAAAGCCACAAACTCCTTAATGGTAACTGTATGGATTCCATTTCCATTTAAAGACACCATTTGTATCACCTATGTTTCTGCTCAGAATGTTTAACCTGAATCTAATTATGAAGAAACAATCAGCAAATCCAAATTGAGGGAGACAGGCAAAACAAATGGCCTGGCTTTTAATACAATGTTAGTGATCTTGCGGGGAAGAGGGAAACTATTCCAGTTGAATGGAGATGAAAGAGACCTAATGTTAAAGGGGTAAGTGGCCCATGTTTGGATTCTGGTTTGAGGGTAGGGGAAATAGTTGTAAAGAGTGTTAAGAAAAATTGAATATGAATTATATTAAGTATTCTGGTGATACTCAATTTTCTGAGTGGGCCAGGTTGGAAAGGAATGCTTAATTTCCTATCACAGTGGGTGTTGAGGCAGATATATTAATCAAGTTGGGTAAAAGTCCCTCCGAGTCTGATTTTATGGGTATTTTTTTAATCCCGTTTCCAAACTATAAAGGAGTTTTGCTAGCTTTGTGTATGTGGGTTGGTGGAAGGAAGAGAGGGAAGGAAATAAGAGTATTTATTAGAAATACATTTCTAACTTTGTATTCTCACATGTAATGGATGGACAACTAACCACTTGGAGTAATTCACTATTAAAAATTCCTTACTAATTTCTAATCATTCTGGAATTAATAAAATGTCAAGTAGTTAAATAAGAGTGTTTTTTTTTTTAACATCTCAGATTATAGAAGATTTGAAACAAGCTCAGCTGCTTACTGTAGTTTTTTTCCCCTAATTCTAAATATAGATACTTCACCCACAGTTGGGTGAATAGTATTTTATGGAAAGACTGACGACGCAGTGTTGCTTTGATTCTTTATTTTTAAATATGACATGCATTGACTTTTCTTTCATAGGTTTGGATAAATACCTCAGACATTATATTGGTTGGTCTCCGAGACTACCAGGTAAAAAAAAAAAAAAGTTTTTTTTTTCCCCATTTATGTGATTGAATTTCTGTGAGCCATTAATGGTTAGAAGTTAAGTCATGACCATATTCGACCGGTTCCACCCCAGTATGCTGCTCACAAGTGTGTCCACAAACATTTCTTAAGGGCCAAGTATTTTTTAGGTGTTGTGCTAGGTACCCTAGGCATCATGATTTCCAAATGGCCATTCTGGGGAGTCCACGTTTCCACTCTGGAAAAAAGAACAACGTGAATTTTTCATGAAGCTAAATGGCCCTTTTTCCTTTTTTTGGTATTTAAAAAGTTGAGTTTTTTGGAATGAGTAATGTTACATAGTGGTGGTTTTGTTTGTGTTCTTATTTGTCAAAATAAAAATTTAATCTTATGTTGGACCTCTGTGGAAATTTTTCTTTTCTTTTTAATTTATACGTGTTGAAATCAAAATCTGGAAACTGTTACTGTAGTGGATACAACTGAATGAGTCAAGCTGCCATCCCAGAGAATGCCTGGTAGTGAAAAGAATGACAGGCACACAAGTAATTACAATACAAACCATGATAGAAGTATGTGCTCTAAATTTGGATGAGCATTTAGAGGAAAAAATGGTAGTTGCCTTTCATGATCTCAACCTGGAGACTCCTCATTTTGGGTCTGTGTAGTCCATTTGAATGCTTTTCTGCCTATTGGAACTCATCATCATATATTGTGAGTGACGTTTCTATTTTTATAACCTTGATCCTGCTTCGATTTTTTAAAATATATATTCCAGAATAAAGAACTAAGATCTTTATTCTAAATCATTGTTTTTTTAACCATGAGTGAATTTTTGCTCCAGGGGCCATTTGATAGTATCTGAGATATTTCTGGTTGTCACAACTGAGGGAGGCAGTGTTGTTGGCATATAATGGATAGAGACCAGGGGTGATGTCAGGTATTCTGCCTTGCACAGGATAATCCCTACAACAAAGAATTACCTAGCCCAAAATATCAATAGTGGTGAGGTAGAAAAGCTTGCTTTAATTAATACCATTTTTGGGTGCCTGGGTGGCTCAGTCATTTAAGCATCTGACTCTTGATTTTGGCTAAGGTCATGATGTCAGAGTCATGAGATTGAGCCCTCCTTGCTGGGCATGGAGCCTGCTTAAGATTCTTACTCTCTTTGTGTCCCCCATCCCCTCCCCCACAAGCCTGCATTCTCTAATAAAACAAAACACCATTTTAATGTCCATTTTCTTCTTTTGATCTTAAAAATAACCCCAAAAGTAGGAAGAATAATTCTGTTTGACAGAATAAAGAAACCAAGGTTTGAAAAGATAAAACATACTGACTATAAAATGATAGCCAAGACCAACCTTGTCTGATTATTAATCTCCCAAAAACTACCTTCTCTACCTCTGCCACTTAAAGCATGGTCCAGGGACCAGTGGCATCATGGCTTTTGGGGACTTGTTTTTTGACCCCACCCCAGTCTTCCTAAATTGGAATATACATTTTAACAGTTTCCCTTTGAGCGTCTATAAACATAGTTCAAGAATTCCTGGTTTGAATCACACTGCCTTTGCATCAGTGATTGTTTTCATAGCCATTAGGACCTGCTTTTAGGTCCAAAGAACCTTTTGAAGTTGAAACAACCAACTTCAACACTTGTTCCTTAACTGAGTCAGATTCTTTTCCAATGGGAAAATGTGAACAATGACAGTAGTTTTCAGTGGTACATTTGCATCAGAAACACTTAAAAAGCTTTTAAAAATACAAATTCATGAGCTTCACTCCACTTCTACTAACATATCTTCTGGAAATGTAGACTCCACTGGACATTCCAGTCAGTTCATATTCTATGAACCACTGATTCATGGAAATGTATATTAATTTCCTTAGGTTATTACACAATCTCTAGTGGTGGTTTTGTTTTTAAGATTTATTTATTTGAGCGAGAGGGAGAAGGGGAGAAGCAGACTCCTTGCTGAGCAGAGAGCCCGACGTAGGGCTCCATTGACCTGGACTGACAGCAGACGCTTAACTGACTGAGCCACCCAGGTGCCCCCGCAATCTTAGTTTTAGACTGTTTAATCATCCTGTAAATTATGGTTCCAGAGAATTTTTGTATTTCAAAAGACTTCTAATCAAAACATAATAGTAAATAACCTAAAAGATTGGGTTTGCACAGTTCTGCTCTTGTTAAAGTGAGATCTGTAAATATCTTCCTTAAGCTTGTTGATCATTATTCATTTATGTAGCTTCATACTATGTAATCCTGAGGATGTTTTTTAGAAGGTAGGAGATAACTTTACATTTTAAAGGGGCTTTTTTTTGATACTTTTTTTTTAAAGATTTTATTTATTTATTTGAGAGAGCACACAAACAAAGTGAGGGTCAGAAGGGGAAGGAGAGGGAGAAACAGACTCCCCACTGGGTGGGGAGCCTGATGCAGGGCCCCATACCAGGACCCTGAGATAATGAATGACCCAAGGAGAAGTCAGAAGCCTAGCCAACTGAGCCATCCAGGTGCCCCCTAATAATTATTTTTAAAATTTTAATTCCAGTATAATTAACCGTATAGTCATTCAGCAATTCCATACATCACCCAGTGATCATGACAAGTGCACTAGGTAGGAAAAAACTTTAAAATGTGAAAAAAAGTATGTAACAACAGGGAAATTTGATTTTTTTTATCCAGTTTTAAAATAATTTGTGAAATAATGGATAATATTTTGGCATAATTAGTTCTAAAAGTTAATTGTCTCTTTCAGGATAATAAAGCCGATGTAATTTTAAAATACAATGCAGATGAAGCTAGAAGTCTGAAGGCCTATGGCGAGCTTCCAGAGCATGGTAATGTCTGAGTTGTTTTATTAACCTTTCATAAGGTGTTAGTACTTGGTGTTATTTAGATGAAAGGATTTTGGTAGAATTTTGTGGGTTTTACTTTTTTGCTTACATGGTTTTTATTTATTTATTTATTTATTTATTTTAATTAATTTATTTTTTATTTATTCATGAGAGAGAGCAAGAGAGAGGCAGAGACACAGGCAGAGGGAGAAGCAGGCTCCTTGCGGGAAGCCTGATGTGGGACTCAATCCTGGGTCTCCAGGATCACACCCTGGGCCAAAGGCAGGCACCAAACTGCGGAGCCACCCAGGGATCCCCACATGGTTTGTTTTAAATATGCCTACTTATACTTCATAATACTGACTACCTTAAGAAAAAAGTTACTGGGATTCTGTCCTTAATAAATACGTTTTCTGGTGTGGAGTTACATTTTATAAACTCTGAACTTCTGCATAATACCAAAGGAATAATTTTGTTCAGTATTTTACAGTAACTTTCTCAAGATTGTCAGTGTTCATCTACTTAAATGTGAAGCAAGGATAGTAGTTAGGTACTGTTGAATTTTTTAAAGTCAGTTTTCAATTTTTCTTTTTTTTTAAGATTTTATTTATTTATTCATGAGAGAGAGAGGGAGAAGCAGGCTCCATGCAGAGAACCCGACATGGGACTCAGTCCCAGGTTTCTAGGATCACACCCTGGGCCGAAGTTGGCGCTAAACCACTGAGCTACCCAGGTTGCCCATGTGGAAAACTTAAAAGTCTTTCATAACCTCACCAAAGGGGGAATGTACTCTACATACTATTTTGTAAACCTACCTTTTCCATTTGGTGGTTTTGTTTTGTAGCGTTTTTTTTTGTTTGTTTTGGGTCTTGCATAATATTCTGAAAACAATATAATTTTACTTCAGCATGAAAATCCTGCTAAGTTATTTACTTGACATTTTCAGTCCAGAAAATGCTAGTATATTGGGGAATAAGACCAGCACCTCTCAGTTCATTTTCATTGCTTTTGACTAAATTTTCTGATTGATGAGTCTGGTGACTGGTAAGTCTAACCATTTTTTTTAGGCACAGCTGGAAGTTGTATAGTTTCAGAATTTGTGTAACTGGATCCTGCTTTACTAAAAATATCTTTCTGAAATAAATAGTTGGGACTATATCAAACAAAATGCTTTTGCATAGTGAAGGGAACCAACAAAACAAAGCGGCAACCTATTGAATGGAAGAAAATACTTACAAATGATAAATCTGATAAATGGTTAATAACCAAAATATATACAGAACTCCTAAGATTTAATGCCTAAAAAACCTGCTGTATAATCCAATTAAAAATGGGCAGAGGACCTGAATAGACACTTTACACAGAAGACATACAAATGGCCAACAGACCTATAAAAAGATAGCTTAGCATCACTAATCATCAGGAAAATGCAAATCAAAACTACAGTGAGATATCCCCTCACACCAGTCCAGAATAGCTAGTATCAAAAAGAGAAAAGGAACCTTTGTGCACTATTGGTAGAAATATAAACTGGTATAGCCAGTGTAGAAAACTGGAGGTTCCTCAAAAAGTCAAAAATACCATTCAATCTGGTAATTCCACTACTGGTTATTTACCCAAAGAAAACAAAAACACTTATTGAAAAGATATATGTACCCCTATGTTTATTGCAGCAGTATTTACAGTAGCCAAGGTACAGAAACAATCGAAGTGTCCACTGATGGATAAATGCATAAAGGACATGTAATTGATACACAATGGAATATTACTCAGACATAAAAACAAAGGAAATCTTGCCATTTGCAGTAACATGGATTGACCTAGAAGGTATTATGCCAAGTGAAATAAATCAGAGACAAATACCGTAATGGTTTCACTTACATGTGGCATCTAAAAAAACAAATGAACATAGACTCATAGAGAACATAAACTTGTGGTTGCTGGAGGGTTGGGGAGTAGGTGAAATAGGTGAAGGGGGATTAAGAAATACAGAGTGTCAATTCTAAAGTCAAGCCTGAAAAGTGCAGCATGGGGAATATAGTCAGTAATACTGTAGTAACTTCGTGTGGTGACAGATGGTAACTGCTTATTCTGGTGAGCTTATAGTGTATATGTATAATTATCAACTATGTTGTGCACTTGAGACTAATGTATATGTCAACTCTACTTGATAGAAGTTTGACTCCTAAGAGTCTTATAGTTCAGCATTTGGTATCAGACCACTTCTTTTAGCAGACGTTCATTTTAATATCATCTTGGTTATATGAGCATATTTGTTATTGTTTCTTTAGCTAAAATCAATGAAACTGATACATTTGGTCCTGGAGATGACGATGAAATTCAGTTTGATGACATTGGAGACGATGATGAAGACATTGATGATGTGAGTAGATGGATCTTGCATTTTCCAACTTTGGTTTCTGAATTATCCACAGAGAAACCAGCTCTTTTTCCTATCTTCCTTTAAACTAAAAATGTTGAATAGAGTATATTTCAAGACTTGGCCGTATTATTGAGAAGACAACTAGTCAAACTATTATACTTTGGGAATTGTTATAATCTTTTCAACATTTCTTCCAGAAAAGATCAGTATTTGCTTTAGCGATATGAATGCTAGGTGTTGGAATCATAACTTGTTTAAGAGTGGAGAGAGAAATATTTCGAAATTTAGCCAACAGTTTTAAGAAATAGAAGATCTTCTCAAAGAAACATGCCTTCTTAATTGAAATACTAGTATGTTAAAAAGAAGAATCTTGTTTGAACAGCTTGATATGAAGCATTGGAATTACAATATATTTTTAAAAGATTTTATTTATTTTAGAGAGCATGTGGTGGGGAGGGACAGGGGGGTTGCAGAGAGAAAGAGAGAGAGAGAGAGAGGATCCCAAGCAGACTCTGCCCCTACGCGTGAAGCCCAACATGGGGCTCGATCCTACAAACCTGAGCCAAAACCAAGAGTTGGACGCTTGACTGAGCCACCCATATGCCCCAAAAGGTCTCCGTTGTAATAAGGTTTTTATTTAGTTATTTTAAAGATTTTATTTATTTATTCACGAGAGACACAGAGAGACGGAGAGGCAGAGGGAGAAGCAGGCTCCATGCAGTGAGCCCAACGTGGGACTCAATCCTGGGTCCCCAGGACCACACCCCGGGCCGAAGGCGGTGTTAAACCACTGAGCCACCCAGGCTGCCCAACAAGGCTTTCCCCCCCCCCCCCCCAACAAGGCTTCTAATAATATACGTTGTAATTCCAGGGGTGCCTGGGCGGTTCAATCGGTTGAGCATCTGACTCTTGATTTCAGCTCAGGTTGTGATCTTAGGGTCATGAGAATCAGGCTCTGTGCTTGGGGTAGAGTATGCTTAAAACTCCTTCTCCTCCTCCTCCTGCCCCTCCCCCACATATGTGATCTTTATCTAAATAAATGTTTAAAATTGAGACCTTTTGCCAATTATGTTCTTTTATCTGTTGGATATGCAGTGTTGACAAACCCTTGGTTTAGAGTTGGTGTTTTAGGAAAATGTATTATTTTTCTGAAAGGTGAAGCAGTTATGCTCACAAGAGTAAATGCCCTTTGCTATTAACATAAATGAAATTCATACTTAGTTTTTGGCAATATAAACTTATTAAATAATTGGGGTAGTATTATAAGTTACTCATAAATCCAGTTTGGTCTCTTTTTCAACTCCTTAAAAAATAAAGTTCAGAACCCACCTGTGTATATAAACGTAAAAATAATTTTGCTAATGTTTGATTTGATTCAAAGATGAAATTTTAGTGTACCTGGGGCAATTGTTCCTAAGACTGCAACACAATTACTGGAGCCTTTCAAAAACACAGAGGTTCATCTTGGGAAAATTTGAGTTAGACATCACAAGTGATCCCCACTACCAGAATTCTATCATTAACATTTTTTATACCTGATTTATCACATATCTTCTTATATCTTTACCCATCAATTCATCTTATATTTTGATGCATCTTAAGACCATTTAGAATACTCAGGATGGGGAATCCCTGGGTGCCTTAGTGGTTTAGCACCTGCCTTTGGCCCAGGGCGCGATCCTGGAGTCCCGGGATCGAGTCCCAGGTCGAGCTCCTGGCATGGAGTCTGCTTTTCCCTCCTGTGTCTCTGCTTCTCTCTCTCTCTCTCTCTCTCTCTCTCTCTCTCTCTCTCATAAATAAATGAATGAATGAGTGAATACTCAGGATGAATTAAGGATTTGAGTACATATCCTCCATGCGTATATGCATTTATGAATTTTTATATAAACATTTTTTTAAGATTTTATTTATTTATAGAGACAGGCAGAGAGAGAGGCAGGCTCCATGCAGAGAGCCTGACGTGGGACTCATCCAGCGTCTCCAGGATCACGCCCTGGGCTGCAGGCGGCGCTAAACCGCTGCACCACCGGAGCTGCCCAAACACATTTTTTAAATGTACTTCCCTTTAGAGACCCTGAGCCACAGAATTCTTGTGACTGAATTGTTAATGATACTTTGACAGTAGATTTATCGATTATACTCAGTGACCAGACCTGACATGGTATTGTGTTGTAAATTAAGGGGCAAGCCAAACATTTTTGGAGCTGGATTAGAAGGCCTCTGTTGGAAATTAAGAACCTAACCAGAGTACACATTTGAAAATGAAGCCACATACACAGAGGTGATAGGTTGAGGATCTAGATAGGGTTAAGATTCTCTAAGAAAAAACTTGTGAATCTGTGCCAGTGATTCCTTGAACTGGACCCAGTAAGTTCTCAGGGAAGGACATGGTAAAAGAGAGTGAATACTAAAGAAATTTGAGTTATCTTCAACATTGAACCTTTTCTGGACATTTCTCCAGATGGTTTATAGGTATGCTAGCCTTCTTTTCTATAACCAGGTTGAGAGGAGAATTTGGTCGTTGTCATACTTGTGCTCTTTCTCTAATAATACTCCTTTGTGTCTGCTCCCACCCTAGAATACAAAATCTCTCATCACTAACACAAAAGGGAAGAAACACTAAACTTTATTAAGAATATTTTGCATAAAAAATAAAAAATAAATTAAAAAAATATTTTGCATAACGTGACATTTTGAAGGAGGTTGTAAAGATTTTACTGGCAACAAACTAATTGAGAAAAACTCGGTGTATAGAATCTCCTCTTCAAAGATAGCCTTAAAGTTTGCAAGCCTCCCTTATGCGGTAGACTGCTGGAATATAAGAATTCTTTTGTTTGATTTGATATTCTTTTCCCTTCCAGATCTAAATTGAATTCAACATTTTACATTCCAATTTCTCTGAGGATTGTTCCAACAATTTGGATTTTGGCTGTGACCTGTTAAAGAAGATTAAAATTTCATTAGCATGAGTGCAATTTGTTAAAGCAGATTGATTTGTTTCTAAGGTATTTCTTTAAAAACCGAATTCTCTTAAGTGAAATGTTAAGCCCCCTTTGTTCTTTTGATGTATTGGAGCTTATGGGTAAAAAATTACATCGACTGTTTTTAAAAAGAAGGGGGAAATGCATTGCTGCCTTTCCTACTTTGACCATTTTCCATTAAGTGAATGTTCTGAATAAACCATTTACCCTACACTCATGGATTATGACTAAGCCCTAACTTTGGCCTGTTGACTGTACAGTGATTTTCTGTATATTCCAGTTACTTAAATGTTCCCTTGAGATTTTGATACAAATTGAGGCGGCAGAAATCTGCATTTGAGGTAAAAAATGATTAGGTCTGCTTTTCATATTTAAGTAGCATGTGGCTATTTTTGTACTAATTTTGATATCATGTACATTCTTTTCATGATATTATTTTGCCACTATAAATGTATCAACAAAAAAGCATTTCCAAAATGTAAGTTTTAGAACCTGGGTTTTACTAACAGTTTTCAATTTGTAAGGTTAGTAGTTACAAGAATTGAACAGTAGGTGGCACCCAGTCATCTTAAACTGAAATAGCGGTATAGTTGTCTTTTTTTTTTTTTCTAAATGTGCATAGGAAATTTCCCAAAACAAAAGATTGTTTTGATCATATGCATGTATGTAGAATATTTTTAAAGAACAAAAATATTGTTAAGTGTCATTTTATTTCAGAAGTCATAAACATATAAGCTACAATTTTGAGTGCTTTATAAACACTTAAATTATGTATAAATGAAAATTTAATTTCCTAAAAACTGTACAAATTAAGCCTTTTTCAAACTATCCCTAAGCTGGGAAAAGAGGAGGGAATAACAGTTTACTGAAAAGATGGTTTCTCATTTCTAAATGGAAGAGCTACAGCTGAGAAATACAATAAAGACAATGTCATGCTGCAGAGTATATTATACCCTTACTTTGTGCTTAGGATGTATTTTATTGTGTGTAAAGATTTGTTTGTATTTTATTGGGAATTTGGATTTTCCCTTATTTAGTTTTTGTTCTCAACTCTACTGAGATGAAATTAAGGGCTGGGCTATTTAGACCACACTAGCCACATTGAAATCTTATGCAACTTTGAAAGAAGAGATCCATCATTTAGATTGTGAAGCTTTTATTCAACTGGTCTCCAGAGATGTTTTCAATGATGAAAAGTACTCCAAAGGGAAATAAACCTTCATGTGGCTTCAAAACATAAGCACATCTTCTCTAATCTCATGCTTATTCCTAAGTGTGCAAACTGGAATCAGAATCTGAAGTACTATAAAACATTATTAAATCAAAGAATAGAAATGAGTAGACAGTTGGAATTCGTATTTCTTATTCTGTGGAATTCTGAATGTTTACCTAGATGAAATGAGCCTGAGACCATGGGCTGGTTTTTAATACTTGTGAGAAACTAGTCTTGAAGAATCAACTTAATGATTATCTTCATCAAAATCTAAACTTCCTAAGATATTGAGGCTTCTGTACGAAAAGTGTTTGACCAAATTTGTGGTGTATATATAGATCCTCTGTGTTATTTTACCAAGAAAGTTGTAACTCTGCATTTGTGGTACAGTTCATGGTAGTGATGGTACAACTCATGTTAGTTTTTCTACTTATCCCCTCTAACAAATATGGTTCATCTGAAGATTCTTAAAATTACAGCTATGACCCCTATCCGTGTGTGTTAGTGATATTTTTTTTCCTTGCCTAGGTAGTAACAGCTCAATCTAGTGCCATTGCATCCTGGAAAATCTCAAATCATGATTATAAAATGGTAAAATTCTAGGTCCTATGCAACACTACTTGGAGGGATTGTTTTACTAACTTGTCTTTAATGTGAAAATTTATTGATTCTATTTCAAATGAGGAATGGAAGTGGTCCTTAGTTGGGTTTTTTGTTTTGTTTTTTTTGGTATGTGTACGTGTGTTGTTTTTTTGAGTTTGGTTGGTTTTTGTTTTTTTTTTTTTGTTTTTGGTTGGGTGGGGGGTTGGTTATATACTCTTTGATTCCCGTAACACAATGCTATAAGGTATGCCCTGAAAGACAATAAAATGTTTGAAATCCAAGAATAATGGTAATAATTATTACTAATGAATTTGATGGGCTTGCATTTTTCATGCAGTGTTGATTCTGCTTCCAGTTAGAGTACATATGGTGGCTCAACAACCAAACCAAGTATTTGTGTGAAAAAAGACTTGCCAAAACTTAATTGCTTGACTGTTGAATCTGTTTTAAACATCCAGCCTCTTAAGCGACCACCTCTTAAGGATCCTGTAAACTATGCATGATAAAAATTCTTGTATTTTATTAAGGAATGGCCGTTGGTTTATTCACCACATCTACAGAATCATGGCTGTGAACATAGTTGGTTACAAAACTCCTTGTAACTTGTAGTTTAACTTAATCTCATCTATCTTGTATAAATATTAAATTATAGGATGGTGAAGAACATCTTTAGTAGATATAAACTGCTGTCAGTGTTGACTTCAGAGCAACAGAGTAATCAAGTAGGTAAAAGCATGTTTGAAGTAAAAATATCTAGCTGGATTTATACTTTATTTGTATTGTTTACAGATTTTAAAATAATCCAGTATTAACTGTAGCTTGACAGTTAAAGTATCAGAATGAAAGTGAGGTTCTTTATGTTACCTATCATAACAATTTTATAAAGATCTGTATTGGTAGGAGACGTTTAGATCTTTATCCTGCTTAGCAAGAGGAAGTTTCACTTATACTGTTTGGATTCCCATGAACTTTTACATACCACATTTGTGTTTTTGATTTATCTTAAACTGTCATTCTTTTTATACTTATTTCTTCCTACTCAGCAGAGAACAAAATCTTAAGTCTCACTACAGCTGCGTTTAAGACACTAACTTCTCAGGTACAGAGTAAACCAAGGAATTTGGAGAGTACTGGAGTGGGTCAATCCTTTCTTCCCCCCAGCTGCTGTGTACTTAGGAGTCAGTGTGATAGAGTGAAGAGCATGAGCCCTGGGGTCACGAGGCCTGTGCCCTAACCCCCACTCTACCCTTTACCTGCAAGTGACCATAGGCACCTTCCCACACTTGTGAGTTTCAGGCTCCTCACCTGTAAGGTGGGGATGATGAGAACAGTACCTGCAAAATTTGTGGGAGGACTAATTATGTGTCCATATGTGTAATGCACCTAGAGCAGTGTCTGCCGCTTTTCACTTGGTATCCAGGACTGTAGAAGATTAAATAAGCACATCTTTTATATTCTCTATTTACCATTTCTTTCACTTGCAGTCTTTGGTTCCTGTAATAAAAGAAACTTGTAGAATATATATATTCATATATTCATGTTGATACAATATTTAAAATAAATGCTACCATCCTCATTTAATTCAGCATAAGACTAACAGAAGTCTCTAAATTGCTTAAAGATGGATGTTTTGCAAAATACCAACTACTCTATATTTCTTTAGAGAAAGTTTATAGTTATTGATAGTTCTGGTCATTTCATTCTTTAGTCTAATGAGTCCTTTTACTATATATAGATTTATGACAGCTAATTAGTACTGACTGATTTGGAGGTTTGGACTTATGTAAGAAAAAGTCCCATCATTTGGACTTATGTACAAAAAATTGGATGCAAACTATTACAATTAGAAAATAAAATATGAAATAACTTTTAACAGTATGCAGTTGATTCTTTTCGAACTGTTTTTTTTAACTGTTTATATTCATGATTCTTTTCTGAAAACCAATTGTGATTGAGGGAAAATGTATACTTTGTATTTCAGTTGTTTGATTTGAATGAATACATTCAGACTCCAGATATGGGGTTGCGTTTTGTAGGTGAGTGAGTTGGTTACAACCATGTGCAGAAGACATTTTCTAATATTTCTAATAGTAGATCAGTTGTCCAGAATGACCTCAGATTGCCAAAATCACATTCACTGGACCTTATTTTGTGTTCTGCAGAGATAATATGGATGAAGCAGATATCCTGGTCAACTTGCTCACTTTCCCCCCCTCCCCCAGCCTGCTCACTTTTTAAAACTGTCTTTTCTGTTTAAATCCAGGCTTTGTTCAGTTCACAGTTGGATAATGGGCAGATCAAAAAGTATGGACAGGGCAGTCCCAGTGGCTCAGTGGTTTAGCGCCGCCTTCAGCCCAGGGTGTGATCCTGGAGGCCCGCAATCAAGTCCCACGTCGGGCTCCCTGTATGGAGCCCGCTTTTCTCCCTCTGCCTGTGTCTCTACCTCTCTGTATCGCCCATGAATAAATAAAATCTTTAAAAAAAAAAAGGAACAGAATCTGAGTTAAATATCCTATGTCTGATACTCCATTCCAGTTATGATCCACTGGAGTATCAGGTATAGAATTAGTTGGATTTTTGCAAATTTAATAAGGATCAATGCATATTTATGATTTTAAATACCTTAGAAATCCAAGAATAATTGGAATTCTGTTAACTTGATAAAGGTTATCTACCAGAAGCAAATATAGAAACAATCTAAAAAGCCAATCTTACAGGGCGCCTGGGTGACATACTTGGTTAAACCTCTGACTCTTAGTTTCAGTTTAGGTCTTGAGCTCAAGCCCCCCGCCCCCAATTGGGCTTCATGGTCAGCAAGGAGTCTGCTTCATCCTCTCTCTCCCTCTGCTCCTCCTGCTTGTGCTCATTTGCAAGCATGCACTCTCTAAAATCTTTTTTTAAAGCCAATTCTACTTAAGAATGCCCCTGAGAAGCAATAAAAATTATTAATCTCATTAAATCCAGCCCTTGAGTACACACCTTTTTAATATCGCATGTGACAAAGTAGGAAGTGCTATAATAAAGCACTTAGGCATACTGTGAAGTATAACAGTTATCTTAAGGAAAAACCCTTGTGTGTTTGAGTTGCAAGCTGAATTTGCCACTGTTTTTCATGAACACTGTTTTTCCTTAAAAGGACAACTGGCAAACTGGTTATTGAAACCTAGGTTTGTGGTCAAACATTTTTTCAAAAATGAATGTGATGAGGCTGTTCCCCAAGGAAGACAACTGGCAACACTTGTTGGTGTTGGTAAGATTTAAGCTTTCAAGCAAAAATTAAAAGTTTTGAAAAACTAGTATCACAGTAAAGACTTAAGAGATTAGTGATCATATTAATGTGTCTTAAAGGTGTTGACACTTGGAAGATCTTCATAGCTGAATCAACCAGTATTTTCTAAATGATCAGTGGATTTTAATGTAATAGATCATTGATTCAGTGTTAAGATTCCACACTGCAGCTAACCTTTGAAGACATTACCATTATCAATATAGGGCATGGAATCAAAAGTACACAATTATCTGAAGAGACTATGAGAATGTTTCTTCCAACTAAACTACATGCCTCTGAGGTCAGATTTTCTTCATATGCTTTAACTAAAAACATACTATAACAATTAAATACAAAAGCAGATCTGAGTCTACTATTAGGCCAAACAGTAAAGAGATTTGCAAAAATGTGAAACAACACTTAAATTTTTTTTGTTTTTAACTTTTCATTAGAAATATATTAAAGCGTCGGGTTTAGTTTTGAATTAAAATTAAATTTCTTTAAAGATTTTATTTATTTATTCATGAGAGACCCACACAGAGAGGCAGAGAGAGAAGCAGGCTTCATGCAGGGAACCTGACGTGGGACTCGACCCTGGGACTCCAGGATCATGCCCTGGGCTGAAGGCAGCACTAAACCACTGAGCCGCTGGGGCTGCCCTGAAATTAAATATTTTTTAAAAATTTCTAATACATCAGTATTCATGGATATAACCCATCAGTGAACTTGTCATTTCAAGGAAAACTGAGTGTTGCCAATATTAGCATTTGCGCTATCAAGTAAAAAGTTGGAATGCCTGGGGTTCCTGGCTGGCTCAGTAGGTAGAGCGTACCACTCTCGATCTTGGGGTCGAGTAAAAGCTCCAGGTTGGGTA